ACATTTTGCTTACGGAGGATTATGGAGCGCCGTAATCTGACGTAAACTACATGAGTGGGAAAAAATCAGTTCAAAAGGCTAAGAAATGGATTCATAAGATGAAGAATCTTTATAATTTCATTATGTTTTAAACACACAATGCAGCTCCAGTTAATTTTAGTTTTTCCAGATTAATTACCTTTTTTTTTATTTCAGTTATTGAAAATGTTCTTTCAATTTCAGTTTTCATTATTTTATTCACTAAGGGAATTTTATTGCTTTTTAGGCAATAAAATGTTTATTTTCTTATTTAAAAAAGGAATTAAATTATTTATTTGTGTCTTTTTTGTTTTTCTAATATTGTATAAAAAAGGTTAGATGATAAACTTACAGTTCAGATAAATGAGCAGCTGGATGTTGAGTTCCTCTGACTGGTTTCTCTCCAGCGTTCCCATCTGACCCTGTTCTGGAGGATCCCGGTCCGGTCCTGCTGGGCCAGGAGGTCCAGCTGCGCTGTGATGTCACCGACATCTTCTCGTCCAATCAGCTGCGGCTCCGCTGGCTGTCGGGGAACCGGACTCTCATGGTGGAGATGCACAGGTTCTCCGGCTCCCTGCAGAACGTCTCATCCATCCTGCAGCTGAAGGCGGAGGCGGCGGCGCGGGTCGTGACCTGCAGCGTGGAGCTGCTGACGGCGGACCGAGACGTCTGGAGGTCCAGAGGAACCAGCGCCACCCTGCAGATCCACTGTGAGTCGTCTGGGTTTCAGGGAACTCAGGCTCAAACGATCAGTCGGTTCAAATACTTTAGTAATCGATTCATCGTTAACTGGAGAACACAAACTCAAAACAGACAATTTGTTGGGGAAAAAAACAGTCAAAGCAATAATTAAGCTAAAACTACAAAACATATAAACTGCATTAGAGCTGCAGGATGGAACCTTTATAAGAATATTTGTTTCCATATTTGATGAAGCTGTGACCAAGTTGGGACACGAGAGATGATCTGAAAAAAACTGAGCTCCTCCACCTGCTCCCAGCGCCAACTACAAACAGCCAATCAGAGCCAGGAGGCGGGGCTTAGCGCTGACAATCACTTCTCCTCGTGACTAGCATAGCCTGCAGTGAATGTTAGGCTAGTTAGCTTAGCCATTGATGATGGGGGGATAAACAGTTTTCCTGGGACGGTGAGTTGTTTCTCCACCATTAACATATTTTATGTATCATTTTTGCAGCAGATTGTGCTATAAAATGCCACTGTGTGACTTGAAAACATAATACTGCTGCTTTAAATCTAAAAACTGAAATAAAATGCGGTTCTTTAAAAATTATAATTTTCCTGAAGGAGACATTTGTCAAAAAATTGTACATTGTTTTTGTTTTTTCAAAACTGGTTTCAGTTTTTGCTTCAGATTGTTTTATTTTCTCTGTAAACTGAGAGATGATCTTTCTTCTGTCCCAGACCCTCCGAGGTCGACCGTCCTGTCCGTCTGTCCCGGTGAGGAGGTGCTGGAGGGACAGCAGGTGACGCTGACCTGCCGTTCGGACGGAGCTCCGCCCCCCGCCCTGGTGCTGAGGAGAAACGGGGAGGAGCTTCTGAGGAGCGACGCCAACTCCTCTTCCTCGCTGTCCCTCAGCATCTCCTCCACCCTTCTGGAGGAGTCGGTCCGCTACCAGTGTGAAGCCTCCAACCAGTACGGCTCCCAGTTGGTCTACAACGTCATCACCGTCAAAGGTCAGGAGCCACATTCATGCTAATCCGCTAACAGCAACTAATTAGCACTTTAGCATTAGCTTCTGCTAATTACCATGTAGCATTAGCAGACTTAATATTTATGATCAGTGCTTTAGGATTAGCGATGCTAACTTTTTGATCAGCGGTTCCCATCACTGCTGATGTACCAGAATATAATCCAGCTGATTTCCTCCAGACACCAATAACTTAGCAGACTCCAGATCTCGTTTAAAACCTTCCTGACTTTCTCCCATCCAGTTCTCTGTTCTTCTTCTGCCGCCTGTTTCTTCTCCGTTCTGACGGGTTTTATTAAGGAAGTCGACATCTGGCTTCTTTCCACAAGATGTTCGGACAGAAATAGACTCTGATCCGACTCCTGAGTCACGAGACTCTTGAGCCGTCAGCCCGGCTGATCGAACCGGGTGTTGGTTTGATCCAAAGTCCCAGAAATGTTTCAGTCACAGGAGGCAAAGAAACCTCCAGAAACGTAAAAAAGCCGACAAACCGTGACGAGCAGAACAAATCCTGACGTCCTGAACTTTACATTATTGTCACTGATGTATTTTCTGCCCGTTTTTGTTCCTTAATTTAAATGCAAAGGTTAAGGTTGATGTGTTTTCTCTGTGGACAAAAATATTAGCTATTTTTTAAAATAAATAAGCTGGAGATCATTTTCATTTCAGATGTTCTGAAGTGGTGATTTAGTAGAAATCCTGTTCTAAAGCTGTTTAACCTTCTAAGAAATTAGCAGAAACCAGTTTGACCCCCAGTGTGATGACAGGTTGTCCGCTATCAGGTGATGATGTGCTGGTTAAAAGGTCAACCGGCAGGTCAAGAGGCCTCGTCTGAAATGCTTTGACCCGCTGCTGCTAACATTCAGTCAGCAGAAACGCTGCTGGAAGACATTTCTGAGAAGCTCTTTGTCCAGGATGCATCAGGTTCCTGCCAAACCCCGGCAGGGCGACCAGCAAGCGGCTCCGCTGCTCCGCTGCCTGACGCCTCTCCTGATTGTTTTCGGTCAGAACCTCCTTAAAGTGTTGGAATTAGTCACAGCGCCGCCTCCGCACTCGCTTCAGAGATTTATCACAGTTAATGTCAGCGTGCCGAGAGACGGCCGGAGCCTCGATCACTTCGACCAGCAGCAGAGGATGAATCACTGCAACAGCAGATTTTATAACTGCTTCCTCACAGCAGGAGACTTTTAAAAAGACAAACCGCAGCAAAACTGATGTGACGCACATTTTACCATTTTCTCTCAGATGTTGCAGAAAACTTAATGTCAGTTTACAGAAACCAAACCTACATAACCCTCTACTTCTCTGCCTGCCCTCCCACCTGGTGGCCAGGTAACCAGGTGGGAGGGTGACTGCCTACTTACCTTACACATCCAGACTTCTCAGTATTCAGATGTTGCAGATCTTCTCGCTGGCTTTGTCTCAGCTCAGCAAAGAGCTGGAGTTCCTGTTTCTGTAGGCTGAATGGTGAAGAGGTCGCTGCGTCATCAGCGTGTCGGTGAATAAGGATCATGTTTGGCTTTGAGCCTGAAGGAAGCAGAAAGGAGACCGGACTGGGCTGGGGTCGGACCCTCCACAGTAACGCCTCCGTTCTGCTTTCGTTTGGTTTAGCTCCCCCGAGGAACACTACCGTCCACATCTTTCCTTCTACGGAAGTCCAGGAGGGCCAAAATGTGACTGTGTGCTGCCGAACCATCAGCTTCCCTAAACCGGCGGTGATCCTGAAGAAGCTGAGCAACGGGACGGAGCTGTTCTCCACCAACGGCACCTTCCTGTTGGTCAACGTCACTTCCAGCGACTCGGGCTTGTACCAGGTCAACGTCAGCAACGACCTGGGCTCTGAGGTCAGAGTCTTCAGCATCAGAGTCAGAGGTCAGTGGAATCACTAACTCACTAAACGAAGGTCTCGGGTCGCATTTCATTTGGTTTTTTGCTGGTATTCTTTTTGTAGAGGTCAGAACCGGATTTCTTCCCGGTTGGAGCATCATCCTCCTCTCGGCCGCCGGCATCGCCGCCGGGCTGACGGCTTCCGCTCTGATCCTCGACTACATGAGGAGATCCAGGAAGAAAGGCTTCTACCAGCTGCCACAGTCTGCGCCGCCGTCAGCGTGAAGCTAGCAGTGAGCTAACAGACTCTAAAATATGGCTGCTTCTCCTTCGGCCCTCTGGGACATCTGAACGAGTTGCTGAAGTTTTACAGCCTTGGTGTCTGATAGCAGCAGGACTGAGGAGGCGGGGCTTTGATTCGCTGAAATATGGCGACGGATCCACTGACTGAAGATGTGTGGAGGCGACCTCTGATGCTTTTCTGCTCTGATTTCCTGCGTAACGTCGTCATGTGGCTGAAGCTAATCTCCCTCTGGATTCAAGCTTTCTCCAGAGGTCCCGCTTTTCCCAGCATACTTTGCTCCAACGTGGTGTTTTCCTTCCCACAGAGTTCCTGTTTTTAGTTTAAGTGTTTGAGATAATGAAATTTAATATCAAACGGAGATAAGAAGACAAAACTGATTAGATGATAAGTTTATTTATTAATGTAAAAAGTAATCAGATCAGCCTGGATTTAACTCTCTTGTAAAATCAAAGATATTTTTTTGTAAATATAATTTGTTAGCTGGAAAATTAGCTGTGCTAGCCTTGAAGCACTAATCATTAGTAGTGCTGCTAACGCTAAAGTGCTACACCAGCATGTATTTAGCAGAAGCTAACGCTAAACGCTAACTCCCGCATTGCTTCGCAGCACACAGACGCACTGAAACATTTAAATTGGTAAAAACCTGCCAGGATGTGAAAACGGTCCTGAAATCCCGACTCTCTGCGTTTAAACGTGCTGCTGCCTTTTCCCTAAACGCCATTTCTACCTCATCTTCCTTTGAACGTTTGTCATGAGCCCGGCGGTAACCATGGATACGTAAATACTCTTTGCACATCTGGAAAGGCAGCTGTCCGCTGATGCTCCAGATCCATCTAAAAACCTGAAATGTTGTTCAAACTTTGGTTTCTCTCTGTTTGGTACTGACGCAGCTCCTGTTTTTGTCTCTGATTCTGCTGACTCTGCAGCTCTGTACAGTTCCGCTCTCCTTGTTTTTAATAAAGATATTTATTTCCTGCCTCGATGCGATGGGATTTGTATGTTCTGGGAATTCCCTGTGATTTCCTCCAGCTTTTACTTTTGCTTCTGCGGCAGTTTACTGGAAACCTCCAGGTCGTCTCCGGCCGTTACCATGGTGACGGTGGTAACTTTCCACGGTTTCTGGAGAGGAAAACGGCTTTTTGCTCAGGTTATCATTTAATTCATGATGATAAAATAAAAATGACACGAAACTTCATATCTAAATAACTATGTTGCTTTAAGTACAGATTAAACCCGGCTTAGTTTGGATCGTTTTTCCAGATGATTTGAAAGGAGCCGTTTCTGGCGGCTTTTGTCTCCGCCGCTGGTCGCCATGGAAACTGGGGTGTGAAGTGGACCGGGACCCTCGCTGGTGTCGCTGGACCCGGTTCAGCTCAGACAGACACACACAGTGGCGGTCTGTTTCGTCACCGGAACGCCGACCCCTCCGGTCATGTGACGCCGTCTCCATGGCAACCAGGCAGGTCCAGACGGCGAGAAACGAGGGGAAGCTGCAAGAGAGGTTTCATGTTTATAGACCAGAACCAGAACACGCTGTGGTACCAGCAGAACCGGCAGAACTAAAAACATGAGACACCTGAGACACATGCATTCATGTTTCTGTTCATCCAGAACTGAAATGTTCCATATTTTTCTCCTGGTGCCTTCACAGAAACATTGACAGAAAATGGAAAACACAGGAAATGCATCTGTTAAAAGAACGGAAAGTTCCTTCACATTTCTACGCTACATTCAACCTTTTTCTTTTCTTTTTTTACAGTGTACAGTAAAACCTGCAGATCTGGAACACACTGCAAAGGAATAATATAATTTTCATGGTTCTGCTCAGCTTTCTAACCCTACAGCCAGAAAGAAATTAAAAGTGAAGCAGCAAAAGCAAAGGAGGTGGATTAGCAAAGAGAGCCAACAGCTGGTGATGTCATCCAGGTCTCTGCTATCTGGATGTTAATCTGTTAGCATCCTCATGGTCATGAAGCTGGAATACAGCAACAATCTTCAGTCAGAGGCCTCTTCAGGGGTGTTGCAACACTGACTGCTACTGGAGATCCTTCAGCAGCATCATCACCCAAAACGACTCTATGAAGATATTTGGTTGCATTGCAGTTTTTTTATGTTACATCCAAACCCACAACAATAAAAACATTGTTTAAAAACTTCGTTTAGAAATGAAATATTAGAGTAAAATCTGTTCAAGAACAATTAGATAAACTTGATCTAAATCAAATTCACAATAGAAATTAAATCTTCCACTTCAAAAACATCCAAAGCTTTTGTAAAATCAAAGCTAATATTTCCCCAGAAGCAGCTTTGACACCAAACAGCTGCAAGAAAAAAGAAACGTTTCTCCTCTGAAATGACGGATCATCACACGAAACGTTTACAGGAGAAACTTTTGAAACTCTCCAGAACCTTTTAAAATCCTGCTTTAAGTCTTGAGTCTTCCAAACAGATGCTCCTGTCGGATCTGCAGCAAAACGTCTCGAACTTTGGCTGACTCGGTGAACGACCCTGAGGGTCAAAGGTCAAAGACGCTCCTGCAGAAATCTGCAGCACTAAAGAGACAAAAAGCCAAATTAAAATATGCAGGCAGAGATTCTTCAGGTCAGGGAAGCAAATGTTTCCATCTTCACTGTGCGGCAGGAAATACCAGCAGGAGATTAAAACAACGAGACGCAGCAGAACGCCTCCGCACGCAGGGTGAAAGGTCGCGGCGACACGGCAGGGCAGCGAGCGCCACGCGGTGGAAAAACACCAGATGGAGCAAAAAGAGACATCCAGTATGATGATTCTGCTGAATCTGCAGAAAGCAGCGCAGCAGAGTCCCCAAGAGCCTGCAGGCCAAGGTCAGAGGTCAACTTCAGTCCAAGCTCTGCTTTTATATAAACAAGTGAATCTGAACTCAGCAGGTTTGCAATCTGAGCACAAATTTAAATAAAACTGGATTTTTTTTTACACTTTTAGGGAACATTTAATGCAGCTGCTGCAGAAACTCAGATTAGAATAAAAACAAGCAGATGATCTGCTGTTTTATCTCAAATTTACCAAGAACAAAATCTTACAAAATAATTTTGATCCAGTTCATAGAAAAAAATATATTAGTTTCATTAGTTTGTCTTAATTCAAGTGAACTAAGTTATTCACATTAGAAACCAGAAATACTTGGTAAGTTTTTGTGCTTTTGCAGTGTAACAAGGTAGATAAAGCTAAAAATCAAACAAACAAAAAAATTAACAATTCTGTGTGAAAACCTGTTTATAAGACTTGAGACTTGTAAACAACAAAATTAAACCATGTTTGACTCTGTTAAAGTCTGAATAAAAAATAATTGGTTGTAATCTGACACAATGTGGAAAAATTCACAAGTGTGAATACTTTGACAAAATAAAAAATAAAACAAAATAAAATAAAATGCACCATCAGTTGAGATGTGGACCTTCTGCTGAATAAAAGGAGGATCTGCTCCATATTTCAGTTTCTGAGAAAACCCGCTGGATGCACTCAGACTGTCCGCTGCACAGGAGCGCCATCTGCTGGTCATTTCAACCTTAAAAACAATAAGATTTATTTATTTTAAATCAATCTGAGCTTCCTGATTTGCTCGCACTTCCGTCTCCTGTAAAACCTGTAAACGTCTCAGAAACTTTATAAATACATAATAACAGTTCACTTTATTTTTAAATTGGTGATAAATTATGGTTCGGTTTCCTTCATGTTTTTGTGTCTGTTTTAGACAAACATGCAGAAATATTGTTAATTGGAAATAAAATTATGAGAAAAGTTTGGTTCTGATTTTCCTTTGCTCTTAAAGGTGAAGTAATTTTCTTAAGACCCAAAATTTTAAAAAGAAGCTAAAAATGAATCAATTGAGTTTTAAATTTGAAAATGACCAGAAAAATGTTACCATGCATTTTATGCATGTATTTAAAAATCTTATTCCTGTAAAGCAGTAGTGCTAAGACGGTTTCTACTGTGGGTTTTACTGCATTTTAAGGTAAATTTGGTTTCTGAATTATTTCTGTTGGACGTACATGAAAACGTAACTTAATTATTAATTTATTTCAACTGAAGCTGGGATAGTGGTTACATCTTAAAATGGACTATCATGAAGGCCACAAAGCATTAAAACTCATTGATTTTATGTAATATTCTAATTTTGGGTTTCAGTTGTTGTAATCATCAAAATGATCAGACTCACACTCAGGGGCGGTCCTAGATGAAATTCACCAGGGGCCCAGGGGAGAACAAAAGAATCCAAACATGGCAACACGTTGTTTTAATATGTCAGGTGGTTGTAGATCCCTGTTCTGGCAGAAACAAACAGCTGAGCAGTGCAACAAATAACTTTTTAATTCATTTTTAAAGTACTGAACTTGTGAGTGTATGCTTTTGAACTCAATTATTAAAATAAAAAACTTTTAGAGGATATCCTAATTTACTGAGCTGTCCCTTCTCAATGGAAATAAATAAATTAATAAATACCAGACATAAAGGCGAAGCGGTTATAATACTTGTCCAAATGTAGCTTTTTTTTTTTTTTTTAAGCAATGACTGATCATTAAGCTTAGTCAACATGTTTCTTTCTTTGGCCCAATAAACCCCAAAAGGGGAAGCATCTTTAAAAAAGAAAAAGAAAAAAAAAAGGTGGGGGGAGGTTCAAGCGCTTTTATTGTGAAACCTGTCCTCGCCGGAAGTTGACAGTTAGCATCTCAGCCAGTTTACGTTCCCGGTGAGACTGTGGAGCGTCCAGGTGTAAAAATGTTACCTTTATCGATCAAAGATGATGAGTACAAACCGGCCAAGTTCAACCTGCTGGTCAAACTGTCCGGGTGGTTCAGGTAAGATTAGCGCTGCTAGCAGCTAGCCGCTAGCTGTGACTGTTAGCCGGAAGCTAACCGGTTAGCCTGAACAGATGTGTTTCTCTCGCAGCTCAATCTGCTTCAAACTTGTTTTTATTCAGCTGTCAGGCTGAAAACTGGCTGCTTTTAACTGCAGTTTGCGTGTTTGTGTCTGACTGGAGATTTTAATCCCTGCTTCCTTCGTGGGTTTATTTGTTGTGACTGCATGTTTGTTTCTGTTTGCTTTTCAGGTCGATTTTAGCTGATAAAACCTCCAGGAATCTCTTCTTCTTCCTCTGCCTCAACCTCTCCTTCGCCTTCGTGGAGTTAACCTACGGCATCTGGAGTAACAGGTAGGCTAACAGTCCGAGCAGCATCTCTGTGTGTGATTTCTGTTCTCTGGATATGCCACGTAAGTGTTAGCAGTGTGTGTGTGTGTGTGTGTCCGTCATCTTTAATCTGAGACGCTGCAGTTACTCAAACTGCGCATGACAACGGAAACTCCTCCGGTCATCAGATATTAAAACTTTGAAAGGAAATATTCTCCTCTCCGTTTATCCCTCCATCCTGTCTGTGCCCGTTTTAAAACAAGACAAATAAAACTTTACATTTGCAGCTAAAAGTTAAACATTAAGCGATTCTGATGTGTTTGTAAATTTACTGTATTGTGCGCAATCACTTCCTGTCAGAACTGAGCAAGCTCTGCACTGGTGGAGACGTTATTCTGCAGTGTAGTATTAAACAATAGATAGTATAATAAAATAAAGCAAAGTCCTAATATGGGTGGAAATATAAACACTCCTAACTGCACTGACTGAACAAATTAAAGTTGTTTCTACATGCTGACCAAGATTGTGAAGCTGCTGGTGGATTTAAATGCAGAGTTATAAAATAAATGTGTAATTTAGTACATTTATTTACAAAAAAGGTTTAAGTCGGTTCAGCTGAACTTTTATCCAACGTCAGCAATCCAGAGACACTAATAGAGGTTTGAAACCTTGAAGCTTCAGAGAAGTTAAAACAACAAATGGACATAAAAATCACTAAAGTAATAAAATAGATGAACAAATTACACAGGATGAGGATCAAAGAAAACACCTGAAATATGAAAGTTATAAACCTAAACTATAAATGGTAAATACAGATAAGATATTCATGATCAAATAAAATATAACATTTAAATATTTCTGATCAAATATAAAATATTGGCAAAAACAGTCAAATCAAATAGACAAACGCCATAAAAATGATTAAAAATAACAATTAAACCCAAGAAAGTCTTAAAAAGCCAGAGTGATTTAATCTCCTCCTCTTCCTCCGGGTCCAGTTTAGGTCTCATCTCAGACTCCTTCCACATGTTTTTTGACTGCACCGCCCTGCTGGCCGGCCTGGCAGCGTCCGTCATCTCCAGGTGGAGGTCCAATGACAGCTTCTCCTACGGGTAAGCCCCGCCTCCTGGCTCCAGGCCCCGCCTCCTTTCCCCAGACCCCGCCTACTGGCTCCAGGCCCCGCCTCCTGGCCCTCTGCTGCTCTGAGCTCGGCTGCTCGGGTCTGATCGTTCTGCCTTGTTTCACTTCCAGCTACGTCAGAGCCGAGGTTCTGGCCGGCTTCGTCAACGGACTCTTCCTCATCTTCACCGCTTTCTTCATCTTCTCAGAAGGAGTGGAGGTGAGTGTGATGACATCATCGCAGGTCGGACACATGACCTTTCTTTTACTCTTAATTTTTAGCTTTAACACTGTTGTTAGGATGCGTAACCGTGGCAACAAGGCGTCGTTTGTAGAACTTGGTGCAGCTGATTAACATCTCAAAAACTCAATGAGCTACGACAGCAAAATCCCAAAACAGGAAATAGATCAGTCTAATGTGGAACCAGCAAAGGAAGAACAGCGCCACCCAGTGGAGACAGTTCAGCCTTCAGCTGGTTGTCGGAGGAAAACGTTTCCATGTTGGACTGAAATCATGAATCATTTCCTCCAGTTTCTGATTTGTCCGTCTGTGTCAGAGAGCCTTGGAGCCGCCAGACGTTCACCACGAGCGGCTGCTTCCTGTTTCTGTGGCCGGCCTGCTGGTCAACCTGGTCGGGATCTTCGTCTTCCAGCATGGAGGACACGGACACTCGCACGGGGACGGAGGTAGTCCCACCTGGAGACGAGACAAACCCGCCGCCGAGCTAACGAGTCGTTTTCCTGAAATCCTAAACCTGTCGGTCCGCAGGTCATGGTCACAGCCACTCTCTGTTCAACGGCAGCCTGAGCCACGGACACGGAGGACACGGAGGACATGGGGGACATGGAGGACATGGACACAGCCACGATGGACATGGACACAGCCACGATGGACATGGGGGACATGGACACAGCCATGACAAACACGGAGATCATGGACATGGTCACGAGGGACACGGACATGGACGACACGAGGACTGTCACAGTGAGACAAACGTCCGTCTCCTCTCCATCAGTCGAGACGTTTTCAGAAAATCTGAACTTGTTGCTTTTTGTTCCTCAGACGAGCTTCAGCGCCCAGGAGAAGGATCCAGCAAGCAGATCCTACAGGGTGAGGACACGCGCACACACACACACACACACACACACACACGCGCACACA